CGATAACTGGAAAGAAGATTGGCCAAAATGCCGCCATGGTGAGGACTGCTTAGTGTAGATGTGCACCAACGAGATGGATGGAGGCCGTCGTTTCTTCAAATGCCCGCGAGCATGGGTATTTCTTATTAATATTGTTTTGCAAATATATTTCTCATCTTTAGTAATACTTACGTGAGATATTGAATACATAATTTGGAGACCGAAGGAAACTACGGCTTCAGTAGATGGGTCGATCCTGCTCCTATTTATCCGCATCAACAGTACATCTACTACCTGCAGGGATGTATCTCTGGACTACAAAGGGAAGTTAGAAGTGGTACCATGGATGAGGAGGAATACAACAGCGATGGTGTCGGTTCAGAGGAGGCACTTTGCACTGATCCATATTGCAATTGCCCTTATCACAAGAAGGGGCCTCCTCCGCCACCGCCACCGCCACCGCCGCCTACAATGTTAGGATACTGTAGAGAAGGTTCAACTCAATTTGCAATGTGGGAACACTACCAGGAGTAACATATCTTATTCATTTGCAATGGAGATGTTGTGTAGACGTATGCTACATTCATGTGATTAATGTTTGGCTTAATTACCTAAGTCATGTTAGGTTTTGTCCAGAACCTCTTTACCCTGCTTTTGTACATGTCCTTACATGCCATTTCATGTGTTGTTCGGGTTTAATTCTGTGCTGCACTATTGAGATGGTATTGTTTCAATTTGAACTACGTGTTCGATGGAAATTACGAGTACTAAAAACGATAGAACACACACGGTACAAATTCACGGGTTGCAGTACACGACAACACACATAAATAAGTGAAGTACATAAATAGTCTGAAAAGTACACCTAATACAGTCCATGGGATCAAATGTTAATGCATTAAAAAAATCTACTACAACATCAATCGTCACCACCCTCAAAGAGCAACTCGTCGTCCGAGTCCCAATCCTCTACCACAACCTCATTCCTACGGTTTGGCTCACCTGCATTGGCGTGAACTGCCTGTCGCTTGAAGTAAGCGGCCTCCGCTTCATCTGCGGCATGAGACAAGAAGGCATCCTTCTCCGCTTGCTTGTCTTGTGCTAACAAGCCCGCTTCCGCTAGAGCGATGAGCTCGCTCAATCTAGCATCGTCATCCTCATCCTCGCCAGCCTCACCGGCCTCCACAATCTGAGATAGCACGGGACGAGCACCTCTCTTTTGTTGCTGCTCTGCCTTCCTTTTTTCCAACCTTGCATGTGCTACCTTAGCGGCATGCTCCTCGCTACGTCCGCTCCCTGCATGGAGAAATACAATAAGTTAGTAACGAGAGAATAGGAATAAAAACAGGATACCAAAACAAATAAATATTCGAAGCACTCACTAGAAAGCGTAGGCAATCTAGTAACAAGATCTTTCATGACCTGCATCTAAACTTTTTCCGTCTCCCTTGCCCTCTCCTCCTCTGCCTTCTTCTCGGCAGCCAACCGCCTTTCGTGCTCCCGCTCATACCACTCATTTGTACCTGGATGTACAGGGTGAAGCAGACCCCTTTCTCTTGCTTTCTCACGCATAAGTGTTGCTTAACGAAGACGTCGATGAGCTGAGATCCACACCCTGCTTCCGTCCCATTACTTGCTTCGCCTTGATTGTATCACAATATTCATCTCTACCCTCATAAGACTCCCATTTGCATTTTCTAGTGCTCTGTTCAACATAAAAAGATAAGTCACTACGTGCCATAAATTCCAATATAAGTTTTCCCAAAAGAATACCAACCTCGTCATAATCAACCATATGGTCGCACCAATGGCCTATTCCATGCTCCGAAGGAACTAGGCTGTAATGGGCTTTAACGCCACATTTGCACAGTACCGGAGGGACTGGGATGATTATCCTCTCCTTATTTTCCTTTTCCTTTGGCTCAAGCCAATGGGACTTAGGTCCATTGAGCCACTCGCTAAAGCATCACTTCCATTATCCATCCTGCAAAAAATGCACATAAGAAATTACATACAAAATACCTCAATCTACAAGAACAATCGATTGGTTTACGTACTTCATTTTTTTGCCACAACGAAACTGTGCAGAAACAAATGAATCCTCAACCACACCTGGATCTCCATTCACACAGAGACGGGTTGTCAAATCGCTTTGATGCGTCTTTGTTCTTCTCCTCGTCCGTCATTGGTGGAGGGTTTGGGGAAGGTGGAACCCAACGATGTAGTCCTCGTGTTTTGTTGTAGGAAGCCCAAATGACTTGTTCAAAAGGAGGAACCTAGGGTCAAACTTCTGAGGCCCATCGATCCATCGAAAGAAGTAGCACCTCTCCCAGTGCTACAAAATAGAATGCCTACATCAAAACAGGTAATTCATATGGAACATAAACGAACTATTTATAGACAATTACTTCCCGGGCCTCTCTTGCAAGGATGCACCCGTGCATCCTAAACTACATGTTCTTAACTGTAACTGTGGTAAGCCGACGCACGTGCTTGAATCGAGGCATCCGAATACCGCTTGCCGAGCCTACTACACATGTGGTGATTGTCGTGTCGGACGACCCGCTTTCGCCACTTCTGCATACACCACATCTCGTTCATCTAATACAATGGAGGGTGCTAAGAACATTTATACATTATAGGTACCTTCCAACACTTAAACTAGACCTAAATTTAAACATACAAAATAACATCATAACATAATCATCAAAAACACGTGCACCTACATGTACACGTACAAATCGACGACACAAACTAAACACGAATTCGTAAACGTAATTAATCGGTCATTAAAACTTAGCATATATATATATATATATATATATATATATATATATATATATATATATATATATATATATATATATATATATATATACCTAAATCAAATTTGCTTCAAACCATAACTAATTAAAAACCTAGGGTTGCAAAATACACATGACGTAGGCCAAATCAATGAGTACAAATTGAGGAGGGGAGAGAGAGGATACCTTGCTATCGAAGATCTATGGATCAAATTCAAGTTTCCAAGGTCTAATTTTTGTAATCGAGAAGGATGGACAGGTTTGGGAGAGGGAGAAACCGAGAGAGAGAGTTAGAAAGAATGAAGGCCAGCTCAGGCAAGAAAAAAGGCCGTTGATTTTGAATCGAAGGTCGGCGCCATAGGCGGCGCCGTGTCTTGTGGCGCTCTGCCAAGTCAAAGGCCATGTTGGCCGCATCCAGGAACCTCAATGGCGTCGAGACGTGTTAGCTCGGTGCCTGTAGGTTACGGTGCCGACCCCCAGGGTCTAAAATCGGGATTACGACTCTCAAGGGTGTAGACGTGAATTTTTGACAAAAGAAGGGCTAAAATGAAAAAAAATCAGTTCCGCTGCCCGTGGTTCCGCCACTGCTGGTGCCAACATGGAAGAGACTTCTGAGCAAACTTGATATCCAACCTTGTGGCTCCTGTATCTAATTAATTTTGAAAACAAATGTAGCTATTTTTAGAGGAACAATGACGGAAGAATTTCACTAAGGGCGAGTTTTTTTCCCTGGACGTTCCCAACCCGGTCGGACCATGAGAGCCTAGGTACCAAGGGCAGGCCCAGCAGGTGCAACAACTGCTTATTTGGTTCCATTTCCCAGCAGAGCCAGGCTAGGTAGGGATCATGTTTGTTTGCTTGCACAAAGATGTAGTCACCTTAGACTGTATGTGGTAGACTTACCACCGGAACTTGTCATTGGCATTACATCGAGCACTTGGTTCGCATGAGAAGTCCACCACCAGGGGAGAATCACGTGAGCTCGTTGGCGGCGCCACAATGCCGACTTGGCGCCCATGCCGACGCCGGCGACGAGTGGGCCGGCCCATGCTCGAGGCCTTCCACCTGGCGACGAGCGCGAGCACACCCAGCACAGCGAGCCCGAGCTCGAGGCCTTGCACCTCGATGCCTGCAGCACGGCGAGCGCGAGCACACCCATGGCAGCACAGTTGTCCTTGAGGGCCAACCCGAAGAGCGCCCCCGCTGTGTGCTCCCCCGCCTCGGGGACCGACGCGCCCGACTAGAGCACCTCGACGAGCGCCACCATGGGCCCCGGCGCACACGATGAGCACTTTGTTGGCGGGATCTTGGGTGACGGCGAGCGCAGCACGGCGAGCTCGAGCGCTTCATCCCTGCCTTCACCGAGGACGAGCGCGACGGTGAGGACCGGGCTAGCCGCCGGACACCGGAGGCGTCGAGCGAACGGGGGAGGGTGAGGCAGGCGGCGGCGTAGCGCTGCGTAGCGAAGTGGAGACGGAAACCGGGAGGTGACAGAAACCAGCGCGTTGGGAAGGAGAGAGCCAGACTGAGCCAGACCCGGAGAAAACGAGATCCATTTCCGTTTCCCCCCAGCCTGGCTGCGGACTGCTTTAAGCAGCGTGCAGGCCTGGCCCGGGGAGCGACTACGGAAACAATTGGGCGCGTTTGCGCACCTGCACCAGCACGGCCTAGCCAGCCTAAACAGACCAGGCGTGGACAGGTCTACCCCAACGGCTACAACACAGTTTGTTTGTGCACCGTACCGATTCAGCTTGGCCCAAGCGAGTTGGTGTTTGTGACCCAATATTTAGTCGGGCTCAAACGCCAACCGCCACCAACTGCCGAGCACAGATTGTGTTTGCCAGCTGTTGTGCTCGGCCTGGCTCAAAGAAAAGGAAAAACAACATGATCAATAGAGAAGCAAACAATTTAAATGAAAATGTACAAAAGACATAGGCCTCAGACTAATAAAAAGTAGCCAACATAGGCTACAAATAAGTTTCTTACAATACCAAGTTCAGCCCAACAGCCAAGGGCTCAAATGTTCCCAAATCCTTGCCTATTATTAGCCACACTCCTATGCAAACTACAACATCAAGGTCAGGTGTCAAAAGAACAAGCAGACTGCACAAAAACTCATGTTGTCAAAAGAAAAGAGAGTGGGTGAGAGGGTGGAAGAACTATACATCTCTACAATCAACTCCCTCCTAGCCTTCTAGCCCTTCATGTGTAGTAGAACTACACATAGTAGTTTTTTGCCAGGAAGGTCCTAAGCCAAAGGGCCCTGTAGGCATCACTCATGTTCACAAAGCCCCTGCCTTGAGCCTTGTGGTCCAGGAGGAAAGTGTAGGCAACAATAAGTGCCTCCTCACTGAAGCCAGGCATCTCCATCACAGCAAGGTACATATTGGCATCAACATGGGTAGGTCCAGTCTCCCTAAGAGCATTGGCCACATTGTTCACAGCATCTGACATGTTAGTCAACATGAGCATCTCCTCCTCAGAGAAGTTCCCTCTCTTCCTCTTTGGGCCAGCAGCTCAGGAGGTAGGAAGCAGTTTAGTGCCCTTGCTATCCCCTCCCTGTTCACGGAGAACTGTGATGTGGGTCAAAGGAGGACCATCAGCCTTGGCACCAACTGCCACTGGTTCTCGCCTAAGGCTTCACTGCACCCAAGTGCAAACTTGCCTGTGGCCATGGCATTAGCAAAGATAGCCTCCATCTCAATGTAGAACCTAATAGGGTAGTTAAGAAACTCTGCATCTTTAGGATGGTCCTGCAGGGTTGGGCAATTGTAGTTTAAGAAAGGCAAATGTAGGTAGTCAAGGCAAAGACGAGATCAAATTGCTACCTTGCAGTAGGCAAGGTAGTGCTCTTGCTCAAGCATGATAGCATGAGCCTGGTCATCCCAAAGAGCACCACTAAGGTCCTTCAGCTTGCTCACCCTAGCCTATTTCTATCTTCACTTTCTCAAGTGGCTGTACGCTTGAGTTGGGCTAACAACCTCCCCACAGAACAGCTTGAGGGCTTTGGCCATAGAATTCACAACTTTGTCCTTGAAAACCTTGTCAGGCCTGCTACCATCACTAACAAGGGCAGCCATCCTCCTTAGCACAAAGCCAGAGGTGGTGTTGGTCCACCTCATTGCCCTCACAGCCCCATTCCTAGCCACAGGGAGCAAAGAACATCAACAATGTTTGTCGCACCTAGAGACAACACCGACATCGACCACCAATGGTACAGTGGGCAAAACACTAGCACCAAAGACAAGCTACAACAGGCGTAACCACCATTGATGAGTCTGCTCTATCACCGAAGTACCAGCAACAAACCCACCCTCAAATGCACCTGAATCCATCCTAGAGCTGGCATGTAATGAAATCAACAACATAATTAGTCAAGAACAAACTGACAACAATATTAACAGTTGCATGAATAAACAACAGACTGACAGATCATGAAGAACAGAATGATTCGAGAATAGACTGACAGTAAGATTAACAACAACAGAATGAATGAAGCATAAAATTGGTCTTAGCTTTGTCCACCAAATTATTACATCACCATGACAGACACATGAGTTCCATAGCAGGGTACAGAAGCTAAATTCAAGAACATATTACATCAAATAGTGTTTGTTCCCCTCCCTTCCCACATAGCATTGCAAATGGCATCCCTTATTTCAGTCATATCAACAGAGTCTTGGTCCAGATGGACTGGGGGTAGGTTGATTGGATCAGCAGAAGCAGTGAAACCTTTCTCATCAGGCACTACTTCATCAATGCCAAAACTTAGGATCCAGTTGTGCAAAATGGCATAGGCAACTACAAGCTTCACTTGTGTCCTATACTTGTGGAAGGGTTTGTTGTCCAAGATCCTAAACCTACCCTTCAGTGCACCTATAGCCCTCTCCACAGTCACTCTAAGTGATGAGTGCCTAAGGTTATAGAGCTCCCTTGCATTGGTGGGCCTGTTCCTTGGGCCATATTCAGACAAATGGTACCTAACCCCCCTGTAGGGAGGTAGAAAACCATTTTTGCATGCATACCCAGCATCTACCAAGAACATTTACCTACACAAGACATCTACTGTGAGAGTGTGTGTTAATAGGCCATGGAATATGTAATTAGTGTTGGTGTGCAATTACCTTCCGCAAACTCAAGCCATCTTCCTCACAGCTCAAAGATCTCGCCAAAACAATTGCATCATGGGCAGAGCCCTCCCAGCCAGCCAGGACATAAGTGAATTTCATATCACAATTCACAGCTACCATCACATTTTGGGTGGGATCCTTTTTCCTACCCCTGAAAGCTTGTTGCATGCGCCTAGGAACCCTTGCTAGGAAATGAGTGTCATCTATAAAGCCAATGACATCCTAAAAAGCATGGGTCAGTCATTACAACAGGTTTAATGTAACTAATGAACCCAGGGTATACAATTACCTTAAAATATGGATTCCATGTATGGCTTTCAAGAATCTTTGGGTGAGTGGTAGTGCTAGCTGGCTTTATCATTTCAGTCCTAAGCTCACCCACAGCATACAACACCTGATGGAAGTGCTTGTGGACAGTTTGGATGGATCTCCTAAAGGACTGGTGGACAACCCTAAATCTTTAGTTGTGCCCTACAACATGTAAAAACATGACAACCTGCTCTTCTACTGACACCCCCTCCCTATCAGTGACAAGACTCCTCTCTCTAAAAGTTCTCACTAACTTAAAAAAAAGCAGCTCTCTTTATCCTAATCATAGAAATACACTCTGAATCAGTGGAGTTGTATATCATTCTCAGTGTTCTCTGTCTGTGCTGTTCATTTTCATCCCTAATTAGGGCCAGTGCTATAGGATCAGGCAGTGGGGTTTCAGGTTCAAGGGTTTTCCTTTTCAGCCTAGTGGATACAAAGGAAACCATAACAACAGTCAAGGCAGCTGCCTTCCTACACAGCATGTCACGGCTCAAAGACAGATCCATCTACAAGCATGTAAAAATATAACATGATTTCACAAATGTACCTTGCTAGGCATCAACATGAATGTGAAATGAATGCATATGAACAAAAAGCACTACCAAGCATCTTGTATGTGATGCCTCCCATGCTAAATTTGGACAACATCATCGACCAATGATGAAAAAAAAAACTTCGAGCAATAGTAATCGAAATGATCAACATCCCTAACGGATCAAGAACAAAGAAGGTACAAGTAACACTAACAATTGCATCAAAACAAAGCTTATGAACAATGAAGGTACAATACTAATCTAAAACAGATCAACAACCCTAACGATCACGATCCCAACAGATCAAAAAAAAAGAAGGTACAAGTAACCCTAATAGGAGCATGAAGCGGTTATAACAAGTATGAAACCCTAACAAATCATGAACAAAGAACGAACAAGAAACCCTAAGAACTTCAAGAAGCACCACAAAAAAAGAAGATTGGGGGTCGATTTCACCTTGGCTCGGGGTCCAAACAACGGAGAGGAGGCAGATCTGGAAGTAGAGGATGCAGATCGGGAAGAAGACGAAGCAGATGCAGACGGAGAAGAAGAGGAACACCGCCGCCACGGAGTCCCAGCAGCATCCGGAGCGGGGATGCGGCGAAGAACCTCGGCGCCGGTGACCGAACCCACAACCACCGGAGGTCGCCGCCGCTGCCACGCACCACCACTCACCGCCGGTCTCTCACGAGGGAGATGGAAGAGCAAGCACCGAGTGGAAGAAGGAGAGAGTGGAGAGTGGGAACCCATATATAAAGGTCGGCGAAATCGCCATCATTTCGCCAGCAGCAGCAGCAGCCAGGCGAGAGCGGGAGTGGGGGATGCGCTCAAGAAGTTTCCCCTTCCCGCCCAGAGCCATGAGCCACCCCACGCCGCCCCAAAATCGCTGCAAGTCGCCCACCACGAGCTCGGCTCCAAAGAAACAAGGGTTTTGTTCGTTTCCATAGGGCCAGGCGGAGAGGGCGTTTTTGGCTCTGGGAAGCCAGGCTCGCTCGCGGGCCACGACTACAAACATGGCAAGTTGCAGCCCACGGGCGCAGCCGGGCCTCCGGGCTAGGGTCGCAAACGCGCCCAAACATATCTCCTGTCTACTTGCAGCCCACGAGCCTATCCCTCGCTCCTGTCCAGGCAAACAAACATGCCTAAATGATTTCACTAAGGATCCATTTTTAGAGGAACAATGACAGGAGAATTTCACCAAGGATTCAACAGCTTGGTTAGCTTTTATTTTGATGAGTACTCCTATTTTTCATCTCATAGGGGAAATGTGATATTTTAAGAATCCCAACTGGGCTCAGGTAGACAGAAGGAACTCGTGGATCTTGGGCCTGAATGTTCGGGCGACGGCGGCCCACCCGGCCTGCGTCGGGTGGACGTCGTCCCAGTAGAAATGCTTGCTCGGGTCATCACACAGCGTGTACTGCCGCCTGCCGCCCTCATCCTGCTGCCCGCAGTGGCCGTCGGCGCTGAAGCTCTCGCAGCACGGCCGCCTCGGCTCCGCGAACCTCTCCGCCGGCGCGTCCTCGACGAAGGCGGCGAAGGGCGTGTTGAGGTCGAGCAGGAGGAACGTGCGGTTGGCCGGGTCGAGCGCGGCGAGCACGGACTGGAGCGCCGCGTTGTGCTGCGCGGCTCCCGCGTTGGCGAGCGGGTCGCAGGCAGTGTAGTTGAGCGCGCGGGTGAAGAGCGGCGTGCACCCCATCGGGTGCAGGTTGGTGACCACCACCTTGCGCATGCCCACCTCGTCGCGCAGCCGCCGCAGCTGCTCCCGGAGCTGCCGCACCACCGCCGGGATATAGGCGATCGCGGCCTGCGTGCATGCTCACTGTTCAGTACTGCTAAGTAAGAGTAAGACAGCGACGAGATATAGTCTATGGTGGTGATAACTGGCGTACGCTTGTGCTGTTGTCCTTGTCGGCGGCGTAGGAGTAGTCGTTGCCGGCGACGACGACGACGGCGACCCCGGCGTCGCAGCCGCGGGTGGGAGGCGGGTGGTGCGCCTGGAACAGGTCGATCTGCGCGCCGATGTTGCGCTGGAAGTAGCCGGTGTCCAGCACGCCCGCGCCTCCGACGGCGAAGTTCATGCCACGCGCCATGAGCCCGCGCGCGGCGCCCCTGCGCAGCTTGTACGCCACCGGCGTTGGCACTCCGATCGCGGAGGCTGCATGCATGCAATGGATTGGTTCCAATCTAGCATAGTTAGCACACACTTTCGTAGCACAGGAAAAAAAAAGCAGCTACCACTAGTAGGATCGGAGCAGTAGAATAAACTACACTGAATTGATGTACTGCTGGAAAAGGAAAGGTTAAGGTTAGGTCGGAGCATGGGGAATCTTTACTTGCCCCTTGTACTACCACTTCAGCATTACCATGCATTTCAGATGCACGCGTGCATGTGGTAGCTGTCTAAAACACACGAGAAAAGAATGGTGTCCATCCATCTCGCGTGGTCTAAATTCGTCAGCTGATTAACGAAAACGCATGCATGGCTCCAAGAGATCGAGGTCGGCAGCGCTGTCGGCTGCCGGGCTTCCGGCTGCGGCTGGAGCTTGAGAATCGAATAGAATGTGGCGACGTCAGAGGAATGTGGGGTGTGCATCAGACATCAGTGCATGTCTGCATGTGGCTAGCTCGGTTGCCATGCCGCCATCGGCGACTTCAGTGCGTGGCGGTTTGCTAGCATGGGCATATGCCATATCTATCAAACAAGAAAACTAGAAGTAGAACTATGCAATTTCGTGGTGCTTCATCAATCAAAATATAAAAGAGACAATAACAGCATGGGGATAAATGATGCTATGGTCCAAATGCCTGAAAATAAGATATTATCATCAGTCGATCGATCAGGTCCGTTGGATCAAGATCGGACTGATGGAATTCTACCTCTACCTTTATGACTTCCATTTGCGAACTATTAGTTGTCCTTCCTCCCATGTTTAGTCATGAATGGCGATTGATCGGACAGGAGAGACCGAGAGAGAAGCAAAGCATACTAACCAGCAAGCCGTTGAGATGATGTACGATGCATGGAGCTGATTATTGGTTACTGGACGCCTAATGAGCTTCCGAACCCGGTGATACAGATTTTTTTTTAGCCTCGTTTAGATTGCAAGTTTTTTCACTCTCTCTCTATCACATCAGATCTTTAGA